TTATGTTTTTTTGTAAAAAACTCACAGGGGGGGGCTGCCACTAAGTCAGAAGGAAGGATGGACGGACGGACGGACGGACGGACGGAAGGAAGGAAGGAAGGAAGGAAGGAAGGAAAAGAAAGAGAGGTGGGTAACGTCCCCAAAATGGTGAGTTTCTAGCCCTCAATGGCCAGAATCCTGTTGCGTTTCTGCACTGTCATCTGAAACTGGTGTGCATGATCATCCAAGGGGGCGGTCATGTGCTTCTGCACACCTGGTTCTGAATGGACGTACCTGGGTTCGATAGCCTTGTCATATCAAATTAGATGGAACCATATGATAGCAGTAAAAGGGCGGTTTTGTGCATTTTACCTGAAACTGGTTGAACAGTAAATACTTTTTTTTGGTGTGTGCCCTTGAACTTCAGTATTTTACCGAAACCGCCTGCATTTTCTGCTTTGATTAGCCAGGGAGTTACTATTTTCTTGTCCTGAACACTAACAATCAAGGAGGCATGACCTGGGCAGAAACGGGAGCACCTAAATTGCACCTCCCGGTATTCATAAATATTTTTCTTTCGTGTGTGAGAGATACGAGGAGGTAGACGGCCCATCAGCTGCACGTTGAGTCATCTTCGCCTCAGGACGGGTCTTTCATGTACAGAGAAACTGCTACGAATACTGTGTTTTCTACCTTTAAAAGTATTATAAAGAATCATAAATGTTTGATTCATAAATAAAGGCTAATGAAGAGTTCTGGAGGACCCGGAAGCTTGTGATGTTTGTGGCTTTCTAGTGATCCAGTAAAGGTAGAGCTGAACCCAGGCTTGGGTTTTACAAACCGAGCACATGGGGTCTTGGATCTAATTTATTTTTTTCTGGTTCTGAAGTATGAGCCAGCTAGAATTAAACCAAAAATTCCCAGGTCTAAAACAAGACAGAACTGCGTGTGGAGGGTTTCACAAACATTTTAATGAGCTTTTTCCCCCTTTCAATACAGTCGTGACCCACTTAATGATTATCCTGTATAAGGACGAATTCGCTTCACGACAATGTTTTTGCGATTGCAATTGCGACCGCAAAATGATGTTTTAAATGGGTTTTTTTTCCCACTTTGCGAAGATCAGTTCCCTGCTTTGGGAACCGATTCTTCGCATTACAACGATCAAAACATCTGATTGTCGGGGTTTTAAAATGGCCACTGGGTGCTCAAAACGGCACCCCACTGTGTTTTTGGACAGATTCCTTGCTCTACAGGCACCGAAAATGGACGCCTCTATGGAGGATCCTCATTGGACAGTGAGTTTTTCAGCCCACTCGAATGCATTGAACGGTTTTCAATGCATTTCAATGGGCTTTTTTATTTCACTTTACGACATTTTCACTCTACAGCGATTTTGCTGGAACGAATTAATGTCGTTAAGCGAGGCACCACTATATAAAGGTGATCTC